ATATACCAATACATACAGCGCCATCTATACCAATACTTTTGTTTTCCCTCGGGAATATCAAATTTTTTCGGGTTAAAAAGTACCCTATTATTTAATCCAGACTACTAACTTTACGTCTGCAAAAATTCAATGCAATCGGTTTAGTAGTTACGGCGTGAAGTCGGAACAAACAAACAAACAAACAAACTCACTTTCCCATTTATAATAGTAAGGATATATAAGGATATAAGGATTAATTAAGGATTTATAATTAAATTTACCTACTTGATAGATTAATTTATGATTTTATGCACACCAATTCACACCATACAACACAACAGACAATACTAAGAAGGACAACACATTACGTAGCATGACTTATGTATTATATGTACTGCATATTTCTAAAGGACTTTTTTCCTAAGCTGGGTGCTTACTCTTGAAACCAATCTCAATGTCAATGCAATTTCAATCCAATAAAATCTCAATAATTATTCCATGTCAAAACTATACAACCACAATTGTAGCTGTAACAATAGCATTCAGAGTACGGAATATAAAGCCAAACTGAATACCATTTAGTTCATTCAATATCCACGCCGTACGAATGCAATGGGCGCTGGTGTAGCAAGTCAAGAGTACGAAATTTGCAATACCAATGTCGATCGATCGGAATTGGATTCATGAGTAAGCCACCAGTAATGACATCTTCATTGTATTAGTTTGTTATTTTTTTAATATATCGTTGCCGTGGGTGCTTTTACAAACATACAAGTTCACATGTATACACATGACACAGATACCTGAAACAATAATTTGTGATTCAAACCAGGCAAATATCAGCTTTAGCATCAGCGGAATATCAGCATTATTGTACACATCAGCATCAGCATCAGCATCCGCATTAATTGTGGCTGATGTTAGATGCTGATGTTCAAAGTTCGTATGGCGACATGACCGGCAGGGGGCGGAGTTAATGGCACGTGCTGCTGTCGCTTCCCAGTTTTAGCCCAACAAAATACATATATTTCATAACATTTCGTCAATCAATATTGTAAGCATTGCAAGCAAAGTGTAGTACCTATCCTGTCACCTCCGCCTGACTAGCAAACAGTTATTCAGCAGTGCCGGCATTATACAAACCTACCCACAACAGACTGCAAGCTGAAAAAGCAGCTCAGTTCTTGTTTTTAAAATACAACTTGACATTAATAGAATTCCAGTATTAATAATAGGTAATTTATTACTTAACTAGTTTTTACGTATTTGTTGATTGTTTTTCTTCATTAAAAAGTTATAGAATTATTAAAATATATCTTTTATTAAAAGTAGGTCGATGAAAATATAATTTTTAGGTACCTAAAAATGTATAAAATTGATTAGGTATAAAAAAAACTTAAAATCAGCATCAGCATCAGCTGATGTAAATTACAATAAATCAGCATCAGCATCAGCATCCGCTGATGTGACAAAATCCTGCATCAGCAACAACCCTGATTCAAACAAAAAGTTGCTTCGTGCGGGAATCGAACCCGCTGCTAGCAATCGAAACCCCTATGGTTTGTACACGTATACAACACGCTGTTAAAGGTGCATATAATTAAAGGTTGTTTCCCATTTATCATCAATTGTTATGGATTTCTATAACAAGGAGCTCATGTTATTACCACGTATGTATAACAGCTCTGAGGATGTAATACGATTGATAAGTCAAATTATATTTGTAGGGCCTTGGCCCTCATCAATAGATGAGTTTTCTAAAATCTAATTGTAAAAGTTTTCTAAAATATAAACTACGTAAAATAGCATTTAAGCCAAATCAATAATTAATCAATTAATAATAAATGCGTGTGCGTTACCCAGGCAAAATGTTTTGCTTTAGAGAGATGAGACTTAAACAAATAATTAGTGTATCATGAGGAGCAATTTGTTTACTAATAGCAAAATTTGTTTGAATTGTAGTTTTTAAGTTATTTGAGAAAAACAAATTTTGCTGGAGTAACGTTTGAAACGTTACCCAGGCAAAATAGTCTTTCAAAAATTAGTTTCAGCACGGAACCAAATACATGAATAGATAGCTTTTGTTGCGTAGTAAATGTTTATAAATAGCAAAATTTGTGTGTGGTATAGTTCTTTAGTTATTTAAGATTTTGCTGCGGTAACGTTTTGGGATTTCCCAGATCTCGAAAACGGCTCAACGCAGAAGTTTGAAAAAAATACCAATAAAAGACCTCAATTTGTTTAAATTTGTTTAATCATTAGTTTTTGATTTGGTTGACGTAAACCAATGTAATTAAATGGTTTCAAAAATCAGAAGAAGCGGGTTTACAAGTAAACCAATACACTTATAACCAAATAAACAGCTGTAAAAAATACCCGTGGTTCGACGCTTGTTTACAGCAGACATTTTAGATTTCATACTTTACACGTTAAGAAGATAAAAACAAATTTGATTTATTTTAGACTGGTCGTACTTTAGCGATCGAATACGCAGTTCCCATAACATTAAGAAACATGGCATACTTTAAACAAATTAAAATGATTCATGAAAATTCTTTCCTGTTAATTTCAGCCTTGAATTACGGCTCTAATGAAAGTTATCTCAAAAACAAGAATATGTCAGCAATTCTCCAATAAGCCGACCAAATTGAAAAGGTCACGTAAAAGCGACTGCACCGTAGGGTAGACCGGGGACAATAGTACCATTTTCGGAATATGGTTTGATTACACAAACTTGACTGTTGCTTTTTGTTTTAGATATTATTATTTTACAGCCTTGGTTTATTATCTACCGAAGAAAATATTTGAAATTGGCCTAGATTGAACCAAATTTGGTCAAAATTGACTTTAACGAAATGATAGCTAGTGCTACAAATGACCCCATTTGAGGGTTAATTGTACCAAAAATACATTGGGTAATAAAACGCAAATAAAGGTATTAATCACATTTTCTCAGTCATTTATTTGAAGTCTTATAGGTTTATAATCATACATAAAAAATAGGAACAAAAAAATCGTGAGATCGGTATTTGAAATAAACACAAATGTAAAGTTATAACATAACATATCAATTCTTCGTCTATAACAAAAATAAAATAAGTTTTTAAAAACATATAATCAACTTTGGTTCACCAGATGCACATTTGCTATTATCTAGCTTAATAACAATGTTAAAATAGAAATAATCAACAAAATTATTTTACTATGGAGGTACAATTGACCCCTGGTACTATTGACCCCCATAGAATATTAGATATTAAAAAAATTAAAAAAGTATGTTAATCAGATTCGCAATTATGACATATATAAATCGACTCCTGAGGTGTGCATTCTTCGTGTGCCCATAATCGGCATTGAGTGCATTGAACCCACATTTCGTTAGGGCGACTAGTGCTATAAGGTTCCATACATACAACACAAAAACATTCTTCTTCTTCTTCACTAGTGTCAGACTCAATTTTTTCTGTAGTTTTCTTTTTTTGCCTGGAATCACGTTTTACCCCTTTAGATTTACCTGGGCAATTTAGATTTTTTTTAATTTGTTTAGCTTTCTTTCTTTTTTCGGCTTCCTCAGCTTCTTTTTGTATAGCATCTTTTTCTGGGGTGTCAGTGTATATAGCCGTTTGTCGTTTTTTTCTTCCGCGATTGGTGGTTTTGCGCGGAGGTGCCTTGGGCAGAGGTCGATCTGATTCAGGAGAAAAAATGGAGGGTTTGGTTCCATTTGATGTAGATGGTTTGGGGTCGAGTACGGATGTTGAGTGGGGAGAAATATTTGTAATTTCACGTAGTGGTGTGCTTGCACGTATTTCCATAGGTTCATTATCTGATGTATTTAGTTGAGATTCCTGTCCTATATCCAAAGGGTCAAATAATACCAAATTGTCTCCAGGTATGATTTCTGGCACTAAAGAAACTGTTTCTGAAGATGGACTTGGTATGGCACGGATCTCTTTTGGCGTTTCTTGTTCTTCATGTGGAGATGAAGTTTGTTGAATTACAGGCTCAAGGTTTGACTCGACGGTATTACTCTGTACTCCAG